TCTCGACTGGAGCCCTGAGCGTGGGGAGGCTGCAGTTGGCTCTTGATCGGCTGTCTGGGGGAAGCAGGTGAGTATACACTCAGAAGGCAGCGGCTGCTCACGGCATTGTGGTGCCAGGATGTAGCGAAGAAAGGCGCTGAATAGAGTGTACCGTGTGGAGGCCTATGGGGAAGAAGGCCTACAAGATCAGGGTGATTGGGAGGTAAAGGCCGAGGAGAAACCTCAGGCTCATTCAAGACAGCTTCTATGGCATCCGGATGTTTCTGTAGTAAGGAGGGCTGAGTGTCGGTCCGAGGCCTGGTGGCGTCGCTGTGGTCCTGGGCAGGATAGTGGGGGTGGTGCTGCTCACTGGCCGGGTTGCCTAATGCAGATAGTGAAGGCACATCAGCTCTAGTCGGATCCTGGCTTTTTCGGCTGGGTGTCGATTTTGCCGAAGCCGGTTGAGCATGTACAAGCTGCACGTATTGCGTAGCAGTGGCAGCAGCGGTATCCCGCTCGAAGTAGCATTTTCGCACATGCCCGGCTGCGTCGGCTTGGGAGAGGTCCAGCCTGGGCATCTGCTTGCTCCGATAAGCGGCTGTCCTGCAGGGCGGAGGAGCTGGCGAAAGTCCCCTGAGCGGGGTGTGCCCATCTCGACGGTCAGCAACTCCGCGTCTGCTCCACCCATTGCCTCATCATTGTGGGCCTGCTCAGCATCCGTCATCATGTGTGAGGTCGGCCCCACTGCATTGGTAGCAGAGCTAGAGCTTGGCGTCTCCACTCTCAAGTGCGGGGCAATGCTCGGTCTCATCGCATTTGGCGCACGATGTCGGTTTCGGGTACTTCTGCCTGATCGTGCCGACGGCGTTGGCTGAGAGGAGGGCACATGAAGACGAAAGGCATCTAACGGTGTGCCACTGCCATGGTTCATTGGTACTAGATGACTGGGAGGAACAGGGAGGGCAGGGGCATCGTCAGGATCTGCTCGAGGCCGTGGGATAGTACGAAGCAGCGCCCCTATGGGCGTACCCGGCATGCGGGACCCCGCCTGGTTGGCCTCCGAGGCGACTTCAAGAGATGTGCCTTCATTGTCGGAGGGGGCAAAGAGAGCAGAAAGTTCTTCGTCCATGCCTGGCGGCGGGGTTGCAAGATCTGCAATCGAGCCCAGGAGGTCTGAGTCATCCGAGTCCACGCTCATGGCAGCAACTTCCGGACGTGGAGAGCTGGACTTGGACCAGGGCTGCTGTGTACAGGCACTGAGCAGGGTGAGGGGCAGAGGCAGAGGGAGCCTACCTAGTTGTTCGTGTGACGGAATCAAGTGCCCTCCAGTGCCGTCATGAGCTGGCTTCAGGTTAGAGAGGCATAAGCAGGCTAGCCCTCTCCAGCTCTTTAAGCAGGCGGTCCTTCTGTCTGGTGGGAGACTCCAGCTGAAGTTTTGCGGCGACCTGTAGCATGGCGTCAGGGAAGGCAGGGTGGCACACAGCAATGCATAGGCGCAGGCAGCGAGTGAGAGAGTAGCCCACGGCTTGTGAAGAGTCAGAGTGACTACATGCTCCAGGGGCATCTGGGAGATGGAGGTGCCTAGGGGGCTGGGCGGGCTCTGAGCAGCTGTCGGAGGCAGAACCTCCGGCAGAGACAAGACGGTGCCAACGCCTGCAGGGTGTACCCCACGGCCTGCTCGCTGTGGCGTCGCTAGGTCCTGCAAGAAGGGACATGGGGTGCAAGTCTCAGAGAGATGCTGCTTCAAGGCAGAGGGAGTGCAAAGAGAGAGTGCTGACAGCCTAGGCACAGGAGACTGCATGTATGCATCACTCGGGCGGGCAGATTGAGTCTCCGTCTCCTCTGCCTTCTGTACAGATTCTATGTTCGATGTCTGCGCATTGTCCGAGCGCCTTTTGTGCCTTTTGGCACTCACCTCCGGCGGCGGAGGGGCCGGTTCAGTTGGGGGATGACGAAGTGCAGCAAGCACCCAGTCCGGCATGTTAAGGATCGGTGTGGTCTCACCATTGCCTCTGTCCAGCAACCATGGACTATCCTGATTTAAAGGTGTAGCCGTGGTAGTCGGGGCTGTATTTCCTGATGACGGGCGAAGGGTCCCGATTGCATGAAATTCGACACCTGTGCCATCCTTCTGCGGTGTGGGGAGAACCAGCTCGATGGTGGAGTTGGTGCTGTGTGGCTGTGGTTCTTCCCCCGATGATGCCACGATCTCGTCTTCAGCTGAAGGTCGGCCTGTGATGGCATGTTGCTTCTTCGGGCGGCACTTGGATTTGACAGCGGTGGATCTGGCCACCAGTGCCCGAGCTTGGCCTGGAGACAAGCGCAGCCTAGTCACGCGTGTTTTAGGCTTGGCTGCTGCGAGTGTCTGTCTCTGCTGCCTGCCAACGGAGCCCTTTGCAAACTTTGGGGGGTGCTCTGCTCGTGGAGGAGTGACCGGCTGTGCCATGTGTGAGGCTGGAAGGTCCGTGTTCTCCACTTTGGGGGTAGCCATCATCCCGAGAGCCGGCATGGCTTTGGCCACCGATTCCAGATGCACTCGCTGTGGCCCCGTCCTTGCTTCCAAGGATGTTCCACTCTGTTCCTCAGAAGGGACCTCCACCATAAGATCATCGGCCTGATGCTCCGCAGTAGGTGACGGAGTCCGTGGCGGGGGAATATCTTCCACGACTACATCCTCCATATCGTCATCTGCGACATTGAGTGCATGGGGCTCCAGAGGAGCCGGAGTGGATGCAGAGACCTCCGTGTCTTGCGGAGGAGTGGCAGGATTAGGGACACGGCGAGGCGGTTCAGGTGGAGCAGGAGGTCGTCGTTGTGGTGCTGGCCTCCAATTTCGTGAGAAGACGGTGAGAGGTGGTGGTTGTCCAGTCGCCTCGGAGTCGCGAAGCCCACTTGCAGTCCGTGCTTCCCTTAGCTCTTTGAGACGACGCCGTGTCTGCTTGTCTGGCCTTCTAGATTCTCTCTCATAATCGCGCTGTGTTTTGATACGCCGCCCCCTGCCGGTGGGGGGATCCTCTGGCGGATCCGCTGACAGATCCATCTCCATCTGCTGCTCTGGGAGTCTAGCTTCTCTGGGCAGCTTGAGAGGCCAGGCCGCAGGTTGGAGGGAGGGGCTTCGATCGCACTGTGAATAGGCTGGCTGTGACCCTACTGCAGTCCTGCACGACTTATCAGACTTGTGGGCACAGGACAGTCCTGGCCGTTCCGCTGCGGCTGCTCCAGCCGGGTGCACCGGCAGGCCAGGCGAATAGGGACCTCACGCCAGTGGAGGCAGAGGGGAGGGGCCGGAGGGAAACCTCCTAGCCACTGACAGCACAACGGAGGGGAACCTCCTCTATTTGTCACTGCAGGCAATGCGGTTGTGGGAGCCCATGAGACAGTGTGGCAAGACAGGCGAAGGAGACTGAGGTGAGGGCCATGTTGTAACAGTCGGGTGCCCTGCCTGAGCCGGGAGTGCAGCGAGAGTTTGCTGATCCAGGATCCTGTGCAGCCTGGGCTCCTAGTTTTGCTAGCAGTTACACCTGTCGTATGGTGGCCTACGAGCAGTATCAGGCATGGCGGGGGCTCAGGGCTACTTCGTGCAGCTTGTGATGTGGATTTCTTTGAGGTCCCGACGAGAGTCAAGTCCACAGTCCAGGGTAGGCTCGTTGAGGTCGCGGCTGTGGTCAGTTCGCGTTCCATCATCCCAACGCTCTGCAAAGGTTCCAGTCTGTTCACTCTTGTAAAACTGCTACGTAGGAGACTGTGTATATGCTGACCAATTGCCCTACTGGGGCAGAGGCTGGGATGAATCTCAAGAGCAGCTCGCACTTGGCGAAATCCTTTCAGCATGGAAGTCAGACCTGAGGTTTTGTTATAGATCTCGCACCGGAGTTGCAGGGGGTCAGTCCATCGATTCGAGGTCTGCTGCACGGCAGATTCTGGAAGCATATGCGGCATCCAAAACACTGGTTGCGAAGGTTGCATCAAGTGCATAGGTGTTAGCCAAAAAATCCACTCGCTGTTGCGGGGAGAGCCATGTCCATGTCTCCTGCCAGATACAAAAGGAGGAGGTGCGTAGCCACGAGCTGCCATAGAGGTTGTGTATGCTGATCCTAGAGCTGATGGGCAAAGGTCGTAGGGCCAAGAGGAGATATTCCATGGCCAACTGCCGCATATGGAACTCTCTCGATGACTCCCAGCGCCACCATGTGGCCAACAGTGGTATCTTGTTTGCACCGTGAGGAGGGCAGAGTACCATATCCATGACATACCCACAGCCCTGAAGCCCAGAAGTCCGAGGAGCATAGGAGGGGAGGGGGAAGGGATAGCCCTATGCGGCAATGAAAAGAGGGGTGAGAGACGAAAACCACCCCCGGGCGTGTTATGACGAGCCGAGACGCTTAGTAGTAGTAGTAGTAGTAGTAGTAGTAGTAGTAGTAGTAGTAGTAGTAGTAGTAGTAGTAGTAGTAGTAGTAGTAGTAGTAGTACTAGTAGCAGCAGCAGCGGCAGCAGTGGAACTGGAAGTGGAGGTGGAAGTGGTAGTGGCAGTGGCAGTGACAACGGCAGTGGCAGTGGCAGTGGTAGGAGGGGTACGGTAGGAGTAGGAGGAGAAGGAGTGGGAGCAGGAGCAGGAGTAAGAGTAGGAGAAGGAGTAGGAGGAGCCGGAGTAGGACAAGGAGCAGAAATAAAAGAGGGAGAAGGAGAAGGTGCAGCAATCGCATCTATATTGATACTGATACTGGTGGTAGAACTTGTAACAGTAGCAGGATGATGCAGAATCGGAGCTGGACGAGGACTTGCTGCCACTGCTGCCGGTGTTGCTGATTCTGCTGCTGCTGCTGCTGCCGCTGGATGTCCGTTTGTCGCCGTGCCATCAATTCCATTTCACCCTGATTTTCTTGCCAGCATTAGTCGTCTCTCGATTCTTTCATCCCCTCATCTCAAGCCGTTTCTGCCATTTCGCTAGAAGTGTGGTTTCTGTGGTTTCCTGCTCCTGCATATCAAGCGTGTATTCGAGTCCTTGCGTCAAACAGCCTTAGGTAAAGAGGATGGAAGCTCCTGATCCATGTCCAGGTGCATTTGGGATTTGCTATTGCGATCTGGCATGCTAAAGACTAACATGAGCAGAGCTAAATGTCAAGGGGGGCAGAGCATCGCTTTTGAGGTGCAGCTGGGAACGATCAGTTGGCCTCTGAGACTGGATGACAGGGTCAATTTGTGGTTTGGCCAGCCTTCCTCCCATCTAGCGCAAGTTCACCAGGTCTGGGGCAGCTGGATCTTTCTCCTCCCGGCCGGTGTTGCCCGCTTAGAGCCTGTGAACTGCCTTGAATTCTCGGCGAGGTTGCTGCAGCAAGCCCGCGAACTCGGGGCCGTGGCAAGTCCGGAGCCTTCCTCAGCTGCTTGGGCCACGAGTCCCCACGAGTGGCCCAGGATCGTCTCCCCAGCTCCAGTGTCGGGCGGTGCTGCGAGTACTGGTGCGTGGCACTGTCAGCTGGCCAGGAGAAGGCCGAGTGTACTCAGTGCCAAGTGTTGCGGGGTGATACTGCATACTGGTCTGTTGCATGGGCTGTGTGCAGTCCAGTGTCCGAAATCTGAGATTCATCTGGCATGGAAATTGAGTTGTACTCCTTCTCTACATGTTTCAGCATCAGATTTGAGTCATGTACCGCTCACAAACAACACCTCTGCGTTCGCTGTGCTCGTTCACAGCCTTCGAGCCCAGCTTGCATCAAAGACATATTGACATAGAGGTCTGTGATGGATAGGTACGTACCGTAATCGGTGTAAGGGTAAGATTCGTCAAGTCTTAACAGGTGAGTTCAGTCCCTCTCCGAGGCTCTTTCACTTTGTCTGCGAGGTAGTCTCTTGCTGGGCGGAGTACGTCCGTCTCGGGTTTGACAGTGTCGCTTTCTCTGGCGACTGCACCGGTCAAAAGATGGTAGGTGATCCCACAAACCGGGCGGGTGTGGCGGTATTGAAGCGGGAGTGTTGGCTGTTCTGTGTGTTATGACTAGACAGGATCTGTCTTCGCTGCCGCTGTCCTCCGTAAAGCTATTTACTTCAACTCCCCATGGTTGAGTAGCTCCTAAGCTTATGCGTACTCGTATAGCAGGCACAAGTCCTGTCGAAGCCGTCATGCGGTCGCCGTTCTGCCGGCATGATGGTCTGCCAAGATGTACGTGGGCGATGCGCGGCTTCCTAGTTACCTTAAACCTGCACGACGACCCAATTCATGCTCGACCAGGGCGTCCTTTTCTGGAAGACATGCATGACAGGTGAGAAAAATGACACGAGCTCAGGCTCTGCTTTCTGCGCCCATATTGTGCTCTTACAAACCCAAGACCTCTGCCCTAGAAAAAGCATCTACTCGGAAATGTTCCATGGGGGAGAGTATGAACTTTACAACCTGGCGCGGGGGTTGGGTTGGCTCACTCCCAACCTCGGCGCTCATCCTCAAGAAACGGACAAATCCGTGATGATCTGAGAAGGACTTTCGTGTTCGCGTCGCGGCCCATGTCCTCAAGCCCAGCCGTTGGAGTCCAGTCCTCGTTCAGAAAGCAAGGCTTGATGTTTTTCTGCGAGAGGGAAACAAAGCCATGAGAGGCCAACGTGTTTCTGGGTTTTGCGAGTGTTATCCGGGACCACACAGACCCACTGCTGCTCTCCATTGGCACAACCATGTAATTCCTAATCAAGTGGTGGGTCAAACTGTGCAGGTCTACTCTGCCCCGGGGCGCTGATAGTGGACTTTGGGCCATTCCTGCCATCTTGGTATTCCTGGAGACCAAACAGCAAGGACTCAACATGAATACCATGAGGCCACGTGCCATAGCAATTCCGTGAATTCAGACAGGATCCGACAATTCTGTCGAAGTCCTTCATGGCAAGTGCAGAGATAGACCAGGAGTTCATCGACAGGCAAACAGAGTCATTCAAGTTGCATGATATCTTCGCCTGATTGCTTTGTTGGTGACCCACCCTTTGAAGGCTTGGTGCACCCTTTACGTTGGCAGCGGAACGTGCTCACAACCCAGCAATTGCTGAGAATGGATTCGCAATCACCCACTTGGTATTTCGCGTAAGCTTGGTGTTTGAGAAGAGGCCGCATCCTTCTACATTGCTACGAAGCAAGCCTCTCAATTGGCGCCAGTGGGTATGCGGGCTTACCTAAAGTGTGTGGCATACAGCTGGAGGAAAAGCACGAGCAATTGAGGTCTGCATGTGCAGCATCAACAGTGCCGTGTTCTGTACGTCATGCATAGAGCGTGAATGTCGATGTAAGGTCCCCGACTCTTCGGAGTGTGTCTGATGTGGCCATCATGGTTCAGTACCTGAGGCGCGCCTTCTTTTTGGCCGGCATTTGGACCCATCCTAACGGTTGAACTCGGGATCTGACTGGACTTCCGATGTCATGCCGCCACAGTCCAGCAAGTTCGGTGTAAGGTCCAGAACAGAAAGCCAGTTGTTGCACCAGCCGGGTGACAAGAGCTGAAGACGCCCGCGTATGCGAATTCGTCCGTAAGTTGCTCAGGGAATTTTTGCAAGTCTGGACACCAGAACTAAATGGCAATGTGACAGTATTTAGTAGTGACAGTAGTAGTAGTAGTAGTAGTAGTAGTAGTAGTAGTAGTAGTAGTAGTAGTAGTAGTAGTAGTAGTAGTAGTAGTAGTAGTAGTAGTAGTAAGTAAGTAAGTAAGTAAGTAAGTAGGTGGGTAGGTAAGTAAGTAAGTAGTAAGTCAGTAAGTAATAAGTAATAAGTAGTAAGTAGTTCGTAGTAAGTAGGAAGTCGTATGTAGGCAGTAAAAAGTTGTAAGTAGCAAGTAGGAAGTGAGGTAGAAGGTAGTAAGAGTAAGATTAGCAGCAGCAGCAGCAGCAGCAGCCGCAGCAGTGGTAGTCTGAATAGTCTTAGTAGTACCGTGTTCAACACATGAGCAGGCATGTACCAATGCTGTCACAAATGTCCAGCGAGACCCTTGAGGCAGCTGGCGGCTTAGAACGGAGGTGCGCTGCAGATATTGCACGAGCTGGAGAGGGGCAGGCTTATCATGCAAGACAAGGTCGCATTTGCTTTGGAGCTGCGGGATGTTGAGCAAAACGAGGCTGGGCGGTTTTTTTGCATATGATTCGAGGTTCCATGGGTTCCTGTTCCAAGTGTGTGGGGTTAGGGAGGCGCTTAACTTCCTAAAGTTGAACAACCATTCGGATGGTGGTTGTTCAGCGGTATCATACAAGGGATGGCCTCTGGGAGCACACTGCGAGTGCACAGTGCAAACAAACTCTGCTAGACCGGATGAAAAGCGGCGTTTAGGGTGTTCCAGCAACCCTTGCATTTCACGAACATACAATTCTAACAGGTTGGCTGGCATTGTTTGTGCAGCATGCTGCGAGAAAGATTCCAAAGTCGTTGGCCAATATGGTGTACAGAAGTTACCCTCACCTCCCAACTTCGCAAGCCAATGGATTTCCATCGCATTCTTGATGACCAGCCGGCTGCATTCAGGTTCTTACGAGTCATGGCGAGCGTCCGACTGCCATGCTGCTTCCGCTTTCATCGGTGCGCTCCGGTTGCTGATGGAATTGAGTTTCCTTCGACCCGGCATGTGCGAGGTCGTCAGCGCCTGGCGTCGGATGCCAGAAGGCAATGTCCGAAGGGCTTCGATGAGGAAAGTGGAGAGAGCGAGCCTCTGGAGGAAAAGTCACTTCTGTGCACGCTCGGCTCAGCGAAGTCTTGGTCTCAATCGTCGTACTCGTTGCAGGTCTTTCTTCGAAGCATCTGCAAGTTAGTAGAGTAGACCTTGGCGCAGTTTAGACTTGGCCGATCGAGGAAGCAATCCGGCGGGCTCGTGGTGTTCTTCAGGAGACTGCTTGCATGGAGAGACGAGAGACGGGGGGCCGGGGGCTGCGCTTTTTCAGGGCTACGAGTCGCCTCCAAAGCGTCTCTCAGTGTCTCCGCGGAAGAGCCAAAGCCGAGGCACAGAGCACAGCAGAGCACAGAGAGAGAGAGGTCGAGAGAGAGAGAGAGAGGTAGCCATTTTGGCTCAAGTGCTACACCTTTGCTTGGGGGCCTGTGCCGCCCCTGGGCATCGGGGGGAGGCAGGGGGTTAACCTGGACTGTAACTCCAGGGGAGCCTTCCTGCCTTTCCTGTGGTGCTTGAGCTTCATATCCGCAGCCGTGTGCTTAAGTGGCCCCGTCGTCCCTTCGCTTTGCCTGATCCCTGACCGCGGCCCCTTTCGAGGGTGGCCCGCCAGTAGGGGGGAAGGCCATACTATTCCGCCGCGGAACACAAGGTGATCCTCCTGGCTTCTTGGGGGCTGTGACGGCCCATGACGGAGCAGTGTCGCTTGTGCAGACATGCAGGGGGCGTTGAAAGAGCGGTCGGGATGTCAAAGTCCGACGGGGGGAAGAGAAGCCACAGAGCAGCAGGACCACAAAGACCCACAAGTCCAGAACAACGGAGCGTGACACCCAACCTGTGGGGGAAGCCAACACAGCGACCGGGGGACAGAACCAGACCGACGACACCAACGACCCTGAAGACCCTGCCGGGCAACTTAGTGCACCCGCAGCTAGGTACAAGCCTACATGGCCCAACGCAGGGGAGAGTCTTCATGAGCACCGAGTCGCACTGAGCCCTACGGGGGAGCCTGCGGAACAAAAAATTCGATGCAGTGCAGTTGTTGGGGGATTTAAGTTCCCTGACTCCCAGTTGTCCCGTTACAACACAAAGTAGACAACGGCAGACTCAGGTAGTGAACTCTTTAAATGGGCCACTGGCCCCACCCGTGGCAAACCCTGAACTTCTCTGGCTTCGTTAAGCCCCGCGATCGAATCGCACAATCTAGGCTTCTTTTCAACACGACTTGAGCTCTAGGGAATTCGGAGGGGGGATGGAGGCATAATTCAACGCAAAGCAAATCCAAGCCGTTCGGTGCAACCCGTTCGAAGTAACGGGGGTGCATGTTTTTCCTCCTCCCCTCCCCCACTGGCAGAAATTGAATGTGTTTACTCATACTCCTTGACGTGACTTCTGCCGGGGGATCTTTTCGGTGCTCTAAAGCCGAGCCCGTGGACGCAAATATCCACCGGGAACTGTGCCGAACCGCAAGTACAGTCGAGCCTTCAGGGGAAAATCCCTTGAAAGGGTGAGACCTCCCGCGAGAAGCGGGTGCGCGCGCGCACGGGGTGATCGGCCTGGACGCTGCCGTGATCCCCAAGCCCGGAAGAGAGAGAGAGAGAGAGAGAAAGAGAGAGAAATAGATCAGATTTTCTGAACTGTGCTGGAGAGTGTCGTCGTCATTCTCTGTCTCGTTCAGGCCGCGAGTTTTGGATCTGCGTTGATGTCACTGACAAGGACACTTACGGGTAGTGTGGACAACTTTGCGTCTTGCAAGCGTGTGGTGCGAAGGACGATGTGGTACCTCACAGTGAGCGGGGATCTTGTACCCTCCAAGTCACCAGCTACCTGCTAGTCCACAGTTCCACAAGGTGGGCCATGGCAGCCTCATGCCCATGCAATGTCGTCGCCCAAGATGCCGGTCAGTCCTGCGCAGGCCATGAAGGGTGTTTGCATGCTGGTTGTTGTGTGATACAATGTCGGCACCAGCGACAAAGGTCAGTCTTGTCGCGATGCGCCGTGGGAAGGTGCGGCTTCTGGCCACTCCATGTGCTCCAACACGTCCACTGCCATGTGCTGGCAGGCCTTCTGTCTCTCGAAGGCAGATTACCAGCGTCATGTTGGAGCCTCTGAATAGTTCAGAACCGTTCCCGTACGGACCAGTTGTTCCTGCGTTCGAGGTTCAGCATCAGCGTGTGGGCATTGTTTTGGAGGCCAGTCGCAACAAATTACGTGTTTTCACAATGGTGATGCCACCGTCGTACAGTCGTCCCGGTTTTGCTTGCAGAAGATAGTCCTTGGCAACTTGATGCAGTACTTCTCGACATGTGATATGTGTCGGAGCGCCCCAGGTCATGGCATTCTTGGGGCGTGTCCTGACCCCGCCTGATGTATTGAGTCAAGATCTGTGGTGGCTCGAGGCATCGGCACACGCAAACGCAAGGTAGGGAGGCGCCCCAGCAGTTCCGCAGAGGAGACGCCATTAGCACGAAGCCCGATCCTGCGAGCACTTCCGTGCGGATCCGAGATCTGAGACCGTTGTTGTGGATTCTGGCCTCTTGGGATGTGGCGTGCAGCTCGCTGTCAACTGCTGCGTGCTTCAACTGCAGAAGCGCCCCCGAAGGCGTGATGTTCGTCAGAGAATTCTATGCAGCGGTGCACTTCGTAAGCTGCCATCACGGAGTTGGCTCTGTCGTGAGGCATGGGCAGCAGCGTCGGAGTGGGTCAACGTCGGTTTGTTTTGGAGTTTATGTCCTGTGTGGGCTATCGGTCAGGATGACACCTTGCATGCGTGCTACTTGCTGATCAGAGGCGAGCTCGAGCCGTCTTCTTAGAGTGCGACACGGAATCAGGCGGTGCAGCAATGCAACAGTGACAGGCATAAGTTTTGACATCACGGCACATGTGCAACTGCAACACTTCTGTCCCGCAAACATGTTTCAGAGCACCTACGCGAGTCTCCGATTTGCAGTGGTTCGTCACGTAGAGGGAATCTATTGGTCGTTGGTTTGCCCAGGCTGAGTCTACCCGGAACGGAGCAGGAGACCCGAGCAGCGACATTACTTCCGAAAATGATTGCTCAATGAAGGAAAGGCGACGTCTTCTGCCAGGCGAGAAGGGGGAAGCGACCATACGACGAACTCCAAATATATTCGAGCAGCTGAAGGTCTCGATATGTAAGCACGGCAGTATCGGCTTTTGTGTGGGCAGGGCGCGCCGGATTCCACTATCCTTGTTCTCCCTCCTTGAATGATCCCGAATGCTGGCCCACGGAGCAACTCTGTGCATGGAGTCAGAGAGTGAAGTGAAGCTACGACTCCGACGTTACGAGGAGTCGTCTTCGGTGATAAGATGCTTTGCGTTGAAAGCCCAGAGCCGGGTGCCATTCTCGGCGGCTTAGGGCTCGGGCCTGCGCACTCTGAGCTGCGGGCGTTTTTCGTTTTGAGGTTGGGCCTCGCGGTATTGCGCAGGAGGGGAGGACTGCTTGGTCTACGAGGCACCATGAGGCGTCAGGCGAGGTCTTGACCGCATCCAATTCGCATGGCAGGTTTCCAGGCAGAGTTTCGAGGACTGGCACGGTGGAACATGAGCTTGGAGACAGCGTGTAGCACAAACATAATATCCATTGCAGGCTGCATTGCAATTGTCGGAGGTTCCTCGGCAGAGTTTCATTGGTTTTACGGTGCCTGTTCAATGTTCGCACGTTTGCGGCAAGATCGGCAAAAAGGTCACTGATCCCCGAGTTCCGGAAATTGAGAAGGCGCTTCAAATTCCCTTCGGAGCCAGGCGTCTTGTGAGTGATCTGAACATGTTCAGGAACACTGATGAGCAGCCGTACTTGACTGAAGGACATTCACGCAGCTTCAGCTCCTATCGAGCTTCTTGGAGAGGCAACCCGAAGAGAATGTCCGCCAGATGTGCACGAATTGAGTGTATCGCGGATTGTGCGCCGTGGTCTAAACGCAGATGGCAAAGTGGAGCGGTCACAGGTGGCGGTAGCTTAAATGCTGCGACCAAGCAACGGCATGGAGGGCAACTCACGGCTGTTGTTCGTGGCTTCGATCGTAACTTCTCGCGGTGGGCAAACACAGCTATGAGCATGCTGACAGGGGGAAACTCAGGGAGTGTTGCCACACTAGAATCTCTGCAGCCATCCGGGAGTCGCTAAGGGCACGAAACAAGACCCCCTCTCTAAATTCTGGTCCTGCGAAACCAAACTCAAGCGCAGCTCCGCTTTTGGTGCTCTAAGCTCTGACATCGCAACAACGTCGTTGTCGTTGTCGTTGTTGTCGTTGTGGTTGTTGCTGTGGTTGTTGTTGTTGTTGTTGTTGGTAACGGCTGTGTAACGGATTTCATGCTTTTGGCCTTGTCAGGCCACGAAAAGCTTGGCCCTGCCGACAAAGTCGGGGGGGGGGGGGTTACAGGGCCGTTTTTAGAAAACGCGATTTCCGGCTGCATCCAACCATGTTGACGTCCACTTAGACCCCATCCGTTCACACAGAGCAACCTTGGGCCAACCATGATAACGTCCAGATCAGACCATATCCATTGCCGCAGAGCATCCATGGGCCAACCATGATCACGTCCAGATCAGACCATATCCGTTGCCGCAGAGCATCCATGGGCCAACCATGATCACGTCCAGATCAGACCATATCCATTGCCGCAGAGCATCCATGGGCCAACCATGATCACGTCCAGATCAGACCATGTCTGTTGCCGCAAAGCATCCATCGGCCAACCATGATCACGTCCAGATCAGACCATATCCACTGCCGCAAAGCATCCATGGGCCAACCATGATAACGTCCAGATCAGACCATATCCATTGCCGCAGAGATCACGTCCAGATCAGACCATATCCATTGCCGCAGAGCATCCATGGGCCAACCATGTTAACGTCCAGATCAGACCATATCCATTGCCGCAGAGCATCCATGGGCCAACCATGCTCACATCCAGCTCAGACCATATCCGTTGCCGCAGAGCATCCATGGGCCAACAATGATCACGTCCAGATCAGACCATATCCGTTCACGCATCCATGGGCCAACCATGATCACGCCCAGATCAGACCATACCATGATCACGTCCAGCAGAGCAATGGTCTGATCTGGACGTGATCATGGTTGGCCCATGGATGCTCTGCGGCAGTGGATATGGTCTGATCTGGACGTGATCATGGTTGGCCCATGGATGCTCTGCGGCAATGGATATGGTCTGATCTGGACGTTAACATGGTTGGCCCATGGATGCTCTGCGTGAACGGATATGGTCTGATCTGGACGTGATCATGGTTGGCCCATGGATGCTCTACGGCAATGGATATGGTCTGATCTGGACGTTATCATAGTTGGCCCATGGATGCTCTGCGGCAATGGATATGGTCTGATCTGGACGTGATCTCTGCGGCAATGGATATGGTCTGATCTGGACGTTATCATGCTTTGAGGCAGTGGATGCTGTTGTTGCCCGTACATGTTTTGTTGCTGCTAGAGCGATCGGATCCAATTTTTTGCAGTTTCCGTGGTGTTCGCTTTTTGGCCATAAACCAACTACATGCAATCCTGTAATGCGCAAAAACCCAAGCGAAAACGCATTTTGCTATTAATGTAGAACGCGGCCAACGTGCTAAAGGCGCACAGCACCCAAAAAACTTCATTTTTCAAAAACCATTTTCGCTGCTGTCAAAACAGTTTTTTGCACGCAGGCGTGTCCAAAACCCAAACGAAAACTTATTTTTAAAGAAAAAATGAAAAAACAGAAAATCGTGGTTTCAAAAAATGACCCTATTACCCCCCCCCCCCTCCCCCCCCCACCCCGCCAAGCCCAACTTTGCCGGTGGGAGCGGCGTTTTCGCTGTCTAAAACCACAAAACCCTGGGATCCGTTACGCTGTCGTGACCTTGTTGTTGTTCGTGGGTGCTTCATAAAGTCCATACATTGCTCCTTTTTGTTTTGGTACGCTCGAATACGCAGAAGCAGAATCAGGTCGTTGCAGAGTGGTGTCAGTTAGAACATGTTTTCTTCATTCCACCTTTGCAGTTTGCGCCGAATTGTCAGGTGGGACTTAGGCTTGATTTTTCATCCATGAGCAGTTCGGGTATCCTTCCCCACAAACTTATGGGCCTCCTGCGACTGAGCTGACTCAAAGGTCGAACACCCGTAATTGCCGTCATTTTCTCCGATCCTGTCAGGCAGGCGCAGTTCGGCGCAGTGGATTCATTTGCAAGATTGGAAGTCAGTGAGTTCGCGGAGCTGCGCAAACTGAGTGCCGGAGAGGCTTGATGGTGACAGCTATTTTTGTGGGAGAGCCGGCATGTAACACTGTTTGACAGGCCATCCCATTCAGCTTGCAGTGCAGCTGCTGCATTCTCCATGGCAAGGCTTGCGGACATCGAGTCTGATATACCGTGTTGGATTTGGCACAGCCCCAGGTCAGCGTGCTTGTGCGAGAGGGTGACCAGCAGGCTGGGAGCTGCGATACCTGCAATGCTGCAATGGCACAGCGGATATGACAGGTTCATGTCTGCAGTTTATCTGCGGGGTCATGGCTGGGTGAGGAGGCCGGCTTCGGGGACAGTGAAACATAAATCACAAAGCCATATAGAACCATTTCAGCAGCCTCTGCAATGAGCCCTGCAGTTTGGCATGTCCGGTGATTTCAGCATTCTCGCGCTCGGGCCTGAGCTGCAAATGCAGCCTTTGCCTCCATCATGTGTCGTTCATTGGTTCCTGTCTGAGGGCCAGGGATTGCAGCCACTCAGCTCAATGTGGTGATGCGCACGAGTTCATGCGGAAATCGCGAAGATGCGAGGCCTCTTCTGGCTCGATCGGAGCCATCTTCCGCAGGAGAGAGCGTGGCCGCATCATGCTGTACTTTACGTGTGATGTTCCGCCGTGTGCAGGGTCGGGGGTCCATCATTGCCATCGGCGGAGGCAAACTCCTTCGATCCACGGGATGCCAGCTGATGCCTGTCCCGCCAGACAAAGCAACCGATCGAGCGTCCACAGACCGGGGTCGGGCCATCCAGACTTTGCGGTTCAAGGTGTGTGCAGCTCACCGCAAATCCACATGAAAGTCAGACTTGGAAGGCTCCCGAACAGCGCAGTCCAGAAGATGTGGCTCCTCGGCTACTGGCATAATCGACTAGATTTGGCATGGTGCAGACATTTGCCGACGTGTTCGCTGACGTCTGACGTGGTAAACCAGGCCTTGCTCGCGAAGTTGTTCCACGGCAATAAGTTTTTCGACGAGCAGGAGGAAGTCAATGGGGCTCGCACAGTGAAGTTTCGAGGTGTGTGTTCGGAGATTCTCCGCGTGGGAGGAATCGGTCTTGAGGGAGATTTGTCGAAGCATGCCAGAACCTCAGCTGCGAGTACTTGGCGGATGGCCTGAGGGTCACAGACAGACGCAAAAGGATGCAAAGCATTCATGTCGAATTTCAAACTGCTTTCTTCAAGCAGTTCAAGCAGAGACAAAGAGCGCGCATCGCATGAAAGCAAAACACATGGTGGACCGGTGGACCTCCCCTTTGCCGGCTTTTTGGGAGGTCCTACGTCGAGGTGAAGCGGCCTTGAGCTCGATGCGCACTTTGTGCGCCTCCACGCATCTGCCTGGCGGCATTTCTGTCGCGTGGGAGGCATCAAGTCATCATCAAGCAGGGCGATGTTGCGGACATGCCTCATTGCCCAGCTTGGGTTGAGCTTCAAAAGGGGGAGACACTCTTGCTGTTCTGTCTCCTCCCCGCTTAGGTGCTACATCCTTTTGAAGGGCGCCGTGGGAATATGGGTGAGTCGGCAAGACGAACTCAATGAAGAAGAGGCGCGTCCAGTAGCCGTTTGGTTGTTACAGTAAGCTCTGCTTCCAGAGAGCAAGGACGCAAAGGAAGAGCCTGAGATCCCTGCAAGGACTAAGGCTGGAAACGAGATCTTCGCACATCGCGCCATGTGATGCCCTGTTGGCATGGCTGAAAGGAAGACGACCAAGATGCTTCACCCAAAACAAAGTCCATGCCGCAGCCTGCAGAGAAGGCACCCCTCCAGCACATCCTAATCAGACTGGGGCTCGCGATGGCAAGGCTAGGGCATAACCAGTCGACCAGAGGTGCGCCAACCCACTTCGCCCATTCCCAGCCATGGTATGCGTGCACGTGGTATTCGTGAGAGCAGTTTTCCATCCCGATTCTAAGTCGCTATACTACTGTATTTTACATTCTGGTTCGTGCGTTGGCACTGAAAATCACATCTGCCCGGTCGTGCTAGTGCTCACTGCAGATGATTCCTGGCAGCAGCACCTTTCTGTACTTCAGAGTTGGGCTGCGTAAGTTTGGCAGCGACACCGAAGCTATGAGACGGAAGGGGCTTGTGAGAGGTAAGCACTGGCAGCATCTCGGTCCCTCGAGGCGGTCACCTTGGCTGAACATGTCACGGGATATATTGAGCCACAGAGACAGCGCACAACAACATGGAAAAGTAGCCCAGAAGAGCTTCGTCAATTCATGCTTGACCGCCCAACCAATATGGACTGGAGCCAAGACAGTGTATCTACGTGCTAATCGTTTCCATGGCTCCACGCTTCTTGATCTTACGTCATGTCAGGAGACAGAAGTTGAGCCAAGCTCTGTCCATGCGACCAGAAAGCTGCAAAAGGACAGGTCCAGATTCTACATGACACCCAGCTAGTTCGGCAGTCGGCTTTATCCGAACTGTTGCAGGCAGCTGTCAAGTTGCTCGTGGCAAGGCCGTGTCGGCGAACAAACTCATTTCGCAGCAGAGCAGGATCATCGAGGTTTCTCTCGGTTCATACGCTTGGGCAGGCGAGCCGTCGATGATCCAGCACCTCAAGGCATCAACGCTGGTGATTGCAACATCGCGACTGCCACCTGCGATGCGATCCTTTCAGGCAAGCCCACCGAGGAGTCGCAGGAGCCGGCAAGATGCCAGGGCAACGTCGGACTGTCTCGACAGTCCAATGCCCAGGACCCAAACTCGGAAGTTGATCCAGCCAGGGCCCGAGAATTAAGTGCTGGGCTGCTAAGCCGGCTAAGCTGTGCGCAGTTGAGCGAACGCATCACGTGCAGGCAACCGGTGGTCCCAGCAATGCAACCCAGGTGAAGGCTCGTTCGAAGCCGAGGGTCCGAGAGGGAAAGAAGCGAAAGAGAGCGCCGCCCTGGACAACAGGAGCTTAAAGAAGGAGATTGCTTTGGCGAGGCGGGGTCCGACGTGAGGCGCTTCGCATCGTTTTTTGCTTGGCAGAGTCTTTCGCGGCTACGGCAGTGCAGTTGCCACGACAAAGCCCATCCGGGGAAGCTGGGAAAGTCATGGTCTTGACATGAAGTCATTTGTGGACATTGTCCGCATCACGCTCCTGGTGGAGTTTTTTGAGTCGACAGGCTTGTCTGAACGGTCCTTTTGGGTTTAGGTCCTTTCCCCCCCCTGCCTTTCCCCTTTGCTGCTAACCCGCGTCAGGTTGCAGCAGTCCAAGCGCCTAAAATCTGTGCACCGTGCATTTCCCAATGGGCTGGGGGGTTCAGTTTTGCGGAGCTGAAGGGGGAAACTAAGTATTCAAGACTCACAGGAGCTCACAGCTTGGGCTGAACAGCCTTAATGCTTGTAGCTGAAGTTGTGCAGTGGCTGAAACGTTAGCGAATCACAGACAGATACAGCATAGGTGCGATGTTGAAAAAGCTGTTCAGACAGTCGAGATTCATGGGACTCTTGGGAATCATCGATGGTATGTTCAGACTGGACTCTTGCACGGCGCACGTCGCAATGCGTCTGGGACTTATCCTTCAACTGGTTTCGAATCTTGTTGGAATGCTTGCTTTTTGCAGCTTCGCATCATTGCAGCCTCATTTGGATATTCGTCAAGGTCGATTGTTGCTGCCGAAGAATGTCAGTGGCAGTCCTAGCGAGACTGGCAATGCCCATACTCTCATGCTTTCGGAAGGGCTAAGTTCCACAGGATGGCACAAAACCTTTTTGGAGATCTTCCGAGTAGGAGCACGCGCGCGCGTGTGTGTGTGTGTGTGTGTGTGTGTGTGTGTGTGTGTGTGTGCAGGCAAGGACGGCAGGCTGTCTCGGCTTGTTGAATACCGACCCCAGGCTGGGTTGCATTAGCAAAGCCCTCTTCGAGAGCAAGCTTCGCGCTGCATACCTGGCGAAGGATGCGCCATTTACGCTGCACCGATACCGAACTCTTCTGACATTTCAATCCCTGCAGGAGCAGGCGCGAGTGAATTTCCTTCGTGACCACTTGCAGCGTGCTCGGCTCCATCATGGCGGTCAGTCTTTTTCCGGCACCAGAGTTTTTGAATGTGTGGCCTGCGCCACTTGGCTTAAACGGTGATCCGCAGCTTGAAGCAGCCGCCCGAATGGAGGCCAAGGACGCTGAACGGTGTCGACCATGCACAGGCTTCGTCTGCTGAGAAGTTGGAGAGAGCTCGCGGTTTGCACAATCTGATGGGAACGCATCTGCACAATTTGGAAGGTCTTAGGAGGCTTTTTCTCTGAGCAGCAAGTGAGGCGTGGACATGTGCGCGCAACTCTGTTGCTAGGTGATGCCACATGGTAGTTGTTAGCCGTTAGTCTGAACGCATGCGGCCTTTAAGGTTGTGTGTGGCTGGGAAGCCGTGCGAGCGTCTCACTATCATTCGAGCTCACCACTCCTGTTTGGTCGGTCAGCACACGTGCTGTGCTTTTTTGCGGCGATTGCCAGGATGGCCTCTGCAAGGTTCGTACATCTAGAGAGGGACGAGCTCAGGAGCTGCATCGGTCAGATGAAGCTTGGCTTTGGTTGAGTGTGGCTCTTTGATGCAGGAAGTTGGCGAAATTGGGAGGGGCCAGATCATTGGGTTGTCGACAGCCCGAGTCCCATAGCATCTGTCTGCTGTTTATTCTGCGTGATTTGTCATGCTTTTGGTGCTTACTCAGATCGGTGGTATGGATGCCGAGCCGTTCACGATTGTGTGCGCAAGTCCGGAGGTGCATGCGCATGTTCGTCGAGAGACCAGAGCCATGTAGCTTCAGCTGGACAGGTGGCTGTCTTTCGGATGGACCTTACCGATGCCCGCAATCGCATTCCCACAGATCTGAGGGAGGCCCTTCGCAATTTGCTGTTGCTTTCTCGCATCAAAACGCATGTGATAATTCTTCCACCTGTTTCCACGTCACCTTTGCTCTTGGTGCATGTGACTTTCTGGCTCAGAACCATTTTGTGGTTTTGACTTCCCAGCCTTTCCAAGTCTGTGGATTCTGTTACATATATCAGACTATGCCATAGAATGCCAACGCAAGGCAGTCCCGCTGCGTGGTGGGCCCTTGTCGGCTTTTGCCTCTGGGCCTCCGGCGGAAAAGCGTATGAGATTTCCGTCAGGCCCAAAGAATCAAAAGATCGCAGAGAATGGTGGCCACCAAGCACGCTGCTGAAAAGCACTGCACAACGACTTCGAGATGTGGTACAAGGTTCTCCCATCATGCGGTCAGAAGCACGCCAGCAGTCAGGTTCTGCCTTGCTGGCCACATCAGATGCTGTCGACTGTGAGTGGGAGTTGTGGGGAGATTGGACCGTCTGCCAATTTACATGCGGCAGTGGCGTGTCGCTACGGACGCGACAGATTAAACGTACTGCAGAAGACGGGGGCTCGTGTGACGGAAATTGGAAGGAGGAGAGGCCTTGCACTAGTGGCGAGTGCCCAGTAGATTGCACATGGAATGACTGGAGCGACTGGGAATCTTGCTCGCAGACATGCGGGCGGGGGATATCACTATCGACTCGAGATTCAAAAGGTGCTGAGTTTGGAGGACAGGCCTGTGTCGGCGATTCTCAGCGCCAGGTGGACTGCAATGTAGATCCATGTCCAGTGGATTGCGCGTGGAGTGACTGGAGCGACTGGTCTTTCTCTACAAGTTGTGGTCCCTCTTCAAAGCATCGGCACCGACAAGTATCTGTGCCAGGAAACGAGTTGGGCGCTGCCTGTGTGGGGCCAACCACCGAGCAAGGTGAAAGCACCCACGTCGACTGCCCTGTGGACTGCGAACTGGACGACTGGGGGAGATGGTCGCTCTGCAGTGTGACCTGCGGTGCAGGTGGGACGGTAAAAACGTTTTTCTCGAAGTTGCCAGGTGATCGTGACACGATCGTTGTTCTAAAGCCTGAAGCACAAGCAACAACGGCACTGAAGTCCGCAGTTTATGCCGTTTGGCTGCCCGGAAAGCAACAAGCGAGGCACAAAACCTCAAAGTCCACGATCTTACAAGATCTTACAAGTACAAACTTACAGACTACGTCGTCAAGCGTCTGAGCTGAGCACAGCCAGCCGAACACTGCCTTGTTTCCTGCTCCTCGACTGGGACAAGTCGATGGCAAGGGGCTTTATGTAGAGAAACCTTATGTCCGTTTCTGTAAGTCGCAGCATTTGGTACTGCATGCGACATTGAGCAACCTCGAGAGCAAGGCAGCGCAGCACAAGCGCGAAGCCTGCGCAGATAGATCTTAAAGAGTCATGGTTTTGTCGGTATCAGTGCAACCAAGCAATTCCCAGACACTCTAAGAGCACAGTAATCCCTTCCAGGCGTGACCAAACGGAGCCGCACGATCAGCAAAGCTGCGAGTTTCGGTGGAGCAGACTGCGACAGTTTACAGGAATCGAAAGTGTGCGATGGAGGAGAGTGCCCAGTTGATTGTCGGTGGTCTGACTGGAGTAGCTGGCAGGAGTGCTCCACATCGTGCGGCGATGGTAACTCTACCAGGTCTCGAACCGTTTCTGTTCCGGCCAACTCCTTTGGAGAGGCATGCCAAGGAAAGCCGCAGCAAACGAGGCAGTGCAGCAATGCACCTTGCCCTGTGCATTGCAAGATGTCTGATTGGACTCTCTGGACTTCTTGCCCGGTTACTTGTGGTTCCGGATCTGTGGAGCGCAAGAGGACGGTCGCGCAACAAGCTGAGAATGGTGGCGCATGCCATGGCCAAGACCATCTGTATGAGAAGAAATATTGCAGTATGGATCCATGCCCAGTGGACTGTTCCTGGGATGATTGGAGCGATTGGCATGCTTGTTCTTCTTCTTGTGGAGGCGGCCATACCATGCGCACGCGGCTTGTTCAAACTCCAGCTGAAGGGGATGGTCAGCCATGTTCGGGAAGTGGGGTGGAGAACCGTACATGCCAGCAGGAGCCATGTCCGATTCAGTGCGAGTGGGAGGACTGGGGAGACTGGACGGGCTGCTCCGTTTCCTGTGGTGAGGGCACCGGCCAGCGTATGCGCCAAAAAGCTGCCGAGGCAAACGGTGGCTTGCCCTGTGAAGGTGAATCCACTCAAACTGGCGTCTGCCATGCTGGCCCGTGTCCGTTTGCATGCCAGTGGGGCGGTTGGAGTGATTGGGAATGCTCAGCGACGTGCGGGCAGGGCACCAACTCCCGGCATCGATCCGTTCAGGCTCCAGCAGAGAATGGTGGCCTTCCGTGTGATGGCCAAAGCTCTGAAAGCGGAGAGTGTGTGCTTCAAGAGCATTGTCCCGTCGATTGCCAGTGGTCTGACTGGAGTGACTGGCATCAATGTTCTGTCACCTGTGGGCAGGGCTTGAGCAATCGTAACAGGACCAGGACGATCTACGAGGAGCACGGAGGTCAGGCATGCTATGGAACGGCTGATGATGAAGCCATCTGCGATGCTGGAAACTGTCCCCACGACTGCATCTACTCTGATTGGGGTCCTTGGTCTTCCTGCCCAGTCACATGTGGCAACGGGACTCGCACTCGGGCCCGTGGCATCCACGCTGAGAGCGAGTTCGGGGGTGAGGCTTGCCTTGGTCCATTCACGGACGAGCGAAGCTGTGCCTCAAATGCCTGCCCTGTGGATTGCATGTGGAGTCTCTGGTCCGAGTGGAGCTCCTGCTCATCGAGTTGCGGTGGAGGCCGCACATTCCGTGAAAGAACAGAGCTAGTCTCGGCGGCTCATGGTGGAATGCTTTGTCAAGGAATTCCCCAGGAGGAGCGCGGCTGCAAGCACCAGGCATGTCCTGTAGACTGTGCCTGGGATGCTTGGTCTGATTGGTTTGCATGCTCAGTCTCTTGCGGCGGCGGAGAGAAGTATCAGCACCGGATGCGGGCAACACAGATGTTCGGTGGCGCGTCTTGTGATGGCAGTGACACGAAGATTGAAGCATGTAACCAGCAGGAGTGTCCTGTTGACTGTCAATGGTCTTCATGGACCCAGTGGTCTGACTGCTCCAAGAGCTGTGACTTGGGAAGCATGTCGCGTTCCCGCAGCAGAATCGTGACCGAAGATTTCGGAGGATTACCTTGCCAAGGGGTTGCTCTGCAGGAAGCAGAGTGCAACAGAGAAGGCTGTGCAGTGGACTGCGAATGGGGTCCCTGGAGCAGGTGGACGGCGTGCTCGGCGCATTGCGATGATGGCCTTACAAAGCGCTTCAGAGATGTTCTAGTGACCGCCAAGAACGATGGCTTGCCTTGCATTGGAGAAGATGAGGAGCAGGCTGTGTGTCACGAGTCATTTTGCCCTCGTGATTGCGAGTGGGATGATTGGGGTGTATGGACTGAGTGTACCCAGTCCTGTGATGGTGGATGGAGGCACAGGGTTCGTGCAAGGCTTCAAGACGCCCAGCATGGAGGTACACCCTGTACAGATTCTGGCGAAGATGGAGAGTACTGCAACACGCAAGTGTGCCCTGTGAATTGTGTGCTGACGGATTGGTCTTCATGGGGCTATTGCACCGTCACGTGCGGAGCTGGCGTTCAAGCTCGCACACGAGCAAGAATGCAGGAGCGAAATGGCGGAAGGCCGTGCAAGCGCGACTTGATGGAGACACGGGAATGCGAGAATGCCCCTAATCCGAGCCTTGTCCAGCAATCTTTCATCAGTCTTAGGCTTCGGCAAGTGTAAGGCAGCGTTGCTAAGGTGCCACTGCCCCTTAGGCTGGGCCTCTGTTGTTTTCCTTTCCACTGTCCAGGACACTGTGTCCCCCAGCAGCACCCAGCACTGCAACTGGCACGCCTGGGTCACGGCCGCTGGCATATCCTTCATCAGCCCAGATCACTTCTGACGGCGACCTTCGTCTGCAACCGGCTGGCGTGGCTGGCGTGCCTGGTGCGGCACCGGGCATGGCTCCCAACTATACCTTCGAGGAAGCCCGAGAGGCTGCTCGCCCGGGGGCGGGGGGCAGCCGGTCGGCAGGCTGGGACCCCGCTCTGGGCCGTGGGGCAAGCAAGGACATACCTTCCCATGCAGATATTTCGAAGCACTATCCGCCTGACCAGCACAAGAACTTTCCCGCGCGCCTGCCATTCTCAAGCGGCTCAAACGCAGCTCCATGTCTCAAAGATGACCTTAAAGCCACGTTGGACGTTTACGATGCCTGGCAAGGGACTTGAACGTTTTTGGCTTTTGTAGCTCTTGCGCGTGATGCTGCTGGTAGAGTAGCCGAGTAGCGAGCAAACTAGGACCGCTCCAGATCAGCGATTGCTGCTTCAAAGCGGGATTGGATGCAGGGAGGACAAGATGTAGTGGCAAAGGTGGCTGGCAATCTGACCCTTCGCGACTCTTTGCTTGCTAAGCTCTCGCTGCGTGGGGGCTTTCGCGGTCATTGCTTGAAAAGCTGGGCATGGCTGATCTGAGGCCGAGCAGGTTGACGAACTCCTGAACAATGCAGCCGCCAACGTTGCGATCGCGAAGGCCTGTCTGCGCAAAAGGAGCACAACGACTGAAGCAAAGGGACAGCAGTCTTTTGATCGGTTTGAGCTGCTGAGGCAATCGCGAGCCTCGCTTCGGTGAAACCGGAATCGACTTCGATAATCTTGCGAACTCCGATATCGGGCAGCGACAAGGCAGGATGATAGACTTTATTGTGCGCATGTCATCCGTGACATACGGATAGAGGAGTGCTCCTATGCTTACATGAGCAACCCACCAAAACGGTTGTCGTCATGCAGCCCGTCGCTTTGCAGCCAAGTATGCGGCACGTGTGCAACTGCCCGTTGTAACAAGTCTGCAGGCAGGCAATCTCATAGCGCGATACTCCATCAACATTTTGGGCACTGACAGCTATTCAGCGGACAGTGTCGCGGCAGTCGTCAAGACCCAGTCTGCTGCGAAGGTGGCTTGGGGTGTGCTGAAGGAGACAAGTAGTGATGGCATGGGGCCTTTTGCCTTCTCCAAGGTGACAGAGGAACTGATGAGACACTTGACAGAGGAGCGGTCTGGAGGCAACGTGCAAGCCATCGGGTTGAGCATGCGCAGCTTGGCACGCACAAGCTGGTAATTCGCTTGCGGAGTGAGATAGACTGACTTGCACGGGTGGCAACACAGTCCACGTCCACGTGCAGTTGCTCAGGAGTGGAGTTGCCGTTCGAATAGACCTTGGACCGACTCAATGCCTTTGTCCGTTGTCTTCTGTTGCACGTCCCAAGATTCGCATGAGCCGCCTGGCTAGAGACAGCACATTGGATGGCAGACTCTCCACCTCTCTCTGCCGGACGAGCTTAGGCCGCCTTGTCTACCACACGTGACGACTCGAATTGTCTCACCAAGATGCCTCTGGGCTGAGGGAGCTTGCAGCCCGCGATTTGAAAAGACACTCTGAGACAGGCAGAGTTTTCCAAAATTCCTCAGAGAGATGCGAAAGGCCATGGCAACTTTCGGACTGCAAATGGTGGCGCGAATGCAGCGCCTGAAGCTTCGGCCCGACCGCATAAAGGTCGCAAGCGCTCCATGTTCGAACTCAGGCCGTGCAGACTTCCTGAAAGCGGCTTTGAGCCCAAGTGGGGATTCAATACAGGTGCAGAGCATTGCAGAGCATCTTCACCTTTAGCAGGTAGACGTTTGGGAATTTTGGGATCATAGCAGCGGGATGTGTTTGTTTTAGCGCTGGCATTGTGCAGGCGCTGACGAACCTCGAGGCAGGCAGAATGCTCCGGGTCCGCGCCACGCATGCATGTGCCAGCCTGCGGTTGCCTTCAGGATGCAGAAGGCAGACGTTCGCTGTCACCAAAGACGCTCTGCCTTAGTAGGCGGCCTCTCGAGTGATACGCGAAGTCCTGTCCCGCTTGCGCTTGAAGTCGCGGGAGAACGCGATGTCAGGCCAAAGACTCGAAGCCAGGCCGGAATCTTGCAGACTCCGCCCACGTTTCCGTTCGTGGAGCTGGGAGGATTAGGTAAATTTGACCTCGAAAGTTTGGGAGAGGACAGGAAAGCACGACAGACTCCAGGAGAGCGTTGGAGCAGGCAGAGAATATCCGTGCCTGGGAGCACGTAGGGCAGAGTCGAGAAGCATAGGAGAGCGCTTCTATCCTGGCGTCATGTAAGGGTTTGTAGATTGTTGTCCAGATATGCCGTCAGCTTATGACAATTTGGCATACTTTTTGCGCTGTAGTAAGTCTCTATTCAGGATAGTGCAATAGCCTCCGTTATAGTGCCTGGGCGCCGGCAGCAGCATCGGATGCGAGCTCTTGGGTGCAGACATCGCTTGGACACCCCGTGGGAGCCAGAAACAGGAGCAATTGCATGTGGTAACTGTGGATCACGGGATGTTAGAGTTACTGATCCACAGATCAGATGGCAACCGGTCCCTGATCCATGGCCTACGGCAGCTCGCGTGGTATTGTGTGCGAACCTGGCAGCTGCTGCATGCTTCAATCTCGGCCTCCGAGCAGAGCTTTGCGGAACAAGGTTCTTGCATGGAAATCAAGAGAACTGGACTGCTATCAGCTCGACTGTGGGAGTGCTCCGGGGTCTTGTCTCTGACTCCGGGCACCTTATGGCTACACCAACGGTCGCATAAGATGTGCGAAACGGCGGTCGTGCGATCTTCTCGTGGCAGGTATCATCGCTCCTGGAGCCTCGACGTTTCGCGGTTTCGTCAGCATAGAGTAAAGGAGAGAGTGTTGTGATGTGCTGGGACATCATGGTAGAGTAGAGGACGTCACGAATCACTGCAATCTAGCAAGGCAGATGTCGGTGTAAGAAGGTCGGCAAAGAAGGGACACCAAGGTGCACATGAAGTGCAATCCTGTCCTGCTTACACATGCCTACAGTGCCTAAATTGATCTCTTGGCAGGGACATGATGCCGTGCAAGCCGTGCCTGCGACTGCGAGGCCATCCTTGAGAAAGGTTTGGGTTGCTGGTTGTTCTTCTGTCGCTTGGCTTCTTTTGCTTGCTCCTTGCTCATCGCATGTGCTTTTGCCCAGCACCCCTCAGGACTGAAGCCGCTCTGTGGGCTTTGGCGATGTTCGAAACGGAAAACAGCAGAACGCAGAAGCACAATTCCAGCACCATGCCTCCCTTTGCAGAAGGCTGAACGACAAGGCTGACTCAGCGGCCAGGAAGCACTGTGCATTACGATGCAGGGGTGCTGATCGGCCGCAATGGGCAGCAGAACTCCAGGCTGCACAGCACAAAGAAGAGATTCTCGTCCATTTTTCAGCCCATGCAGGCAACCTGCTTGCGGCCCACCTGAAATGTACAGAACCAGCTGCACTGCCAGCTGAGTGAGACGAAGGGCTTGGCTTTCGCGCCTCCCCTTGAAGCACCTACCTGAGTCAGGGTCCACCTGCTCAGAACTGGACACCAGCGAACAAAACAAAACACTTGCCCCGAATCGAGCACTGCGACTCAAGCACTCCCGATTCGAGCACCAATTGAAGCACACACGATTCAAGCGTCAGCGCTTCAAAAATGCCAAACAGGTTCGAGCACCGCCGATTCAAGCACCAAAACAGATAAAGCACCGGCTGATTCAAGCACTCAGCGTTTTAGGGCAGGGTTTTGGGCTTAGGGTTGCAGGTTTCAGGTTTAAGGAGATTCAAGCTTTGTGGTACAATGCGGCAGGGATCTAAGAGAGTCGAGTGGCTTTTTATTTACTTACGGTTTTCGGGTTTTCTTTGGGCTGCTTTGATGTTCGGCGTTGTTATGCGTTGTTGTTTTGCCAACTGCCCTTTTAGGGTTTACAGGGCTTTTGTGAGCTCGTCAGTGTTATTCAGGGTCTGCCCATTCACGCTTTTTGAGGGTTTAGTCAGTTACGATATTCGCCAGCATTCAACTTGTTTCAGGATTTGTTTTTTTTTTCATTTTGCGAGCTCTTGTTGGGACTTGATCTTTTCGCAACCACTCACCCCTTCAGGGTTTGGTCTGTTTGGGAACAAGATCAGGCCTTCAGGTTTTGGGTTTTTGCCGACCCTCCTCGTAGGATGTTGGGTTTCTTCGGCATCGACTCCCCTGTAGGATAATGGGTTCTCCACCTCTATTTCACTGTTAGGGTTCTGGCGTTTCGTGAACCAGTCAGTTTTTTGGGTTCGCTTATTCTATTCGCAACCGTTCTCGAGTAGCTCTTTGTTCGCAACCGCTTTCGGATTTTGGGAACCAATCATGCCTTTTTGGTTTCAGGTCTAGGTTTGGGGTTTTTGCACAGCGACACACTGCCTCGAGATGTTGGGACATTGCAGCGCTCAGGGCACTGGCCTTGCCACTCACTCGATGCTATTGGTCCTACTGGTGTTTTGGCACAAAGCTTTTGTGAAAAGTGACTCCTGGCTTTTCCGCAAGCACTCATTGGAAATAAATCAACCCTATCTTGTCGAAAGGATGGATTCAGGATATTATCATTTCCTGCTATGCCCTTGGTATGGACACGTTGTCGGGTGCCTGGGTTTGGCGTTATGGGCAGGGCTCTGGGAAGGCGCGGGAAGGCAAAAGCCCTGTGCAAATCCACTGCACGAAGGCACCGAACCACCGGCATCCGTGCGCAAATCCATGGTGCCGAATCTGGCAGTGCATCTCTCTGTGGTGCGCGAATCCTCTCCACCACTGCAGTGCACGAATCCACGGTGCGCAAAATCCTGGGCCTCGTTACGTGAATGCAGAGCATGCCAATTTTTCTGGATTAATCGGGTTTCCAGCGCATGAATCGCCTCTCGTCTGTTGAAAGCACGCCATTCACCCAAGGACCCAAAGCAATCAACAAGGGGTCTGTTGTTGTGCAATCGCTGCAAGTGACTGGCAGGCCTGCGGGGAGCGGCGGGCAAGTTGTCTGCCTCCCTTCTGCTGTCAGTCACCAGCCCACCGAAAATCGGTGTAACATTGGCATCACGCCAACATAGACTGGCATAGACCCCGAACAGGAAAGAGCACCGTAAGGAGCACCTGGCATGCCATGTCGTCCAAGCCCTCATATCCACGACCTCCAGAAAAACCGCTGAGGCTCCAAACCACCCGCGGCGGTGGCGGGAGCAAGGGTTCATGACAGAACAGGGATCAAGGATCCCGGGCGAGAGCACGATTCCACACAAAAAGGCTTTCCAAAATGCGTGCACGGCACTCTGGCAAAACGAGGACTTTAGTGCAGCACGGGTCTCCCCCCAACAGTAAAAAGGCAACAGCAAATCAGCTCCCCACGAAAAGTGAAAGACAACAGCTGCAACATGTACAGCTCAATTCTGCATCCCTTGAGAAACCCTACTGAAGACAGTGGCTCGCAGTGCCAGGGCCAGGACAGCACCATCTGCTTCAAAGGGTGAGGCTGTGGCATGCCGTTCTGTGTGAGCAACTACCTAGATTTTCAGGGCTGCAGTGATGAGAGGTCCATGATGCGCCACATCGCCGGCAGCTGACCAGGTGGGGTTATAAGGGCAAAGCATTGTGTGTTTGTCCTGTGACGCAGCTGGTTCGTGACAGGTTGATGGAACGGCAGCAGCGGGAATGGGAAGACCTGGTGATAACCAAGCCATCACAGTGGTCCCCGAGCCTGTTCCGCAGTTTGACCGGGTTGCTTGTTTGACCTGATACGCCTGATGCGGTTTCAAAGGTATGCCTGCAGCCAACCGGTTGTTGCTCAGGAACATTGTGGCCGAGAAGCAGAAGGAAAAGGAGAGACTGAAGAGACAGCTGCTTGGAAGCAGTGCTGCCTGTCTGTTTGGTGATGTTGACCTCAAGCTGGCAGTCATACCGTGTCATCACGAGGCGGGATGGCATTGCGTTACGGCCCAAGGCTTCACAGCCGGAACATCAAGACCGATAGGCTTCTGAAAGAGAACTCGACCTGGCAGCACGAGCGACTTGACTTCTTTGGTTTGCCGTTTCAAGAAATTCAGCAATAGAAACTATACGAACTGCCTACCCTACACCCCGACTGGTTCAGGAGACATCTGCTGTTGACTCGTCCGGACCTGTGCGCCGTGAGCCTACCTTCTCAGCTTGCCATGCGTCGCAGTTTTGTGCACGATCATTTTTCAGGAAAAGGCTACATGCAGAAGAACATCTGGGGAAATCAAGGGTGGTATTTTTATTCCAGGTGCTGCAAGAGACTCAGTCGGTGGCGCAACTGCACGTGATTTTAGCGTACTGAACGTTGGGCACATAGTTTCGGATTCTGAGATTGGGTTTGTCGGGCTCTGAGGTGCGACAGGGGTCGCGGCCCTAGTGCTTTAGCTGGCTGATCTTCACATTTTGATGGGAGTTTGCTGCGAGGTCGAGCTTGCCGCAGCCGCCGCACCCAGTGCCACCCTCGGCGCGTTCCGCGGACTGGCACCTCCGCCATCCTCTATTCTTCCAGAGCAGGTCTGGTTCCCATCAAACCCTCCGCACGCATGGATCTTAGCAGGTCGAGTCCCGCAACATGCCCAGAATATGTGTTTTTCTTCTCTGAGGAAGTGCTCAAGGCCACGTCCGAACCCAAGCTGATGCTCGTCTTTTGGTGTTACAGTCAGTGTGTGTGTGTGTGTGTGTGCGCTGTGTAACTTCAACCCTTTATTGAAGGCCGAAATCCACAACCCCGCCGCCGCTGCAGTCCGGCACAGAACTGTCTCGCCTGCTGAACCAATGTGCAATCTCGCGTGCTCTTGTAATCAGGCGTGTTATGGTTGTGGCTGTTTCTCCGTCTTTGCGCCCACCATATCTCTGTCTGATGCTCTTCTTTTCTCTGGACGGTTTGTCCAGCATGCACCTGATGCAAACTCTCATTACAAAGGTGAAGATGATGACAATCCAGATGCCTTCCTTTGCTGTCGGCCCATGCCAGTCAGGCCAGTCCGGCGGCATACTTGGCCTGCCAAGTTTCTGCTGCATCTGCAACAGGCCGCAGGTTCCAAGCCCGTCTGCGAGGCGCATTCGACGTTGCATAGAGGCAAAAAATTGCACCTCATGACGCTTTACCACTTTAGCAGGCTTGAGGCGTGGCCTGTACGTGTCGTCGCTGTCGTGCTATGCCAGGGCCAAGGCTGGATCGACCGAGTGCGATGCCCTCCCCTCAGCACGAGAGCCGCCCATGTCTGATGGGACGAGTCTGATGAGTCGGGGGAGTTCGTTGCCTGAAAGGACGGTCCTGGTCCAGAATCTGCAGATGTGAAGGACGAGAGCATTTCTTGGGAAAGTTTGTGGTCACCAAGCACATACGAAACATGTCGTGTGCGTAAGCTTTGCCGCGCAAGAGCCACGGGAGACATGCGCAATGGATATGCCAGGTTTAGCATGAAAGAAGAGCTGCCCTCACATGAAAAAGTGTATCTGCTCATCTTCAAGGCAGTCGAGCAGAAGAGATGTGCAGAGTATAGGCGTCTGAGCCTGGCAAAACAACCAGTGAATCTGCGGGATCTGCCGGCCAAATTTAGTGCTCCCGATCACGATACAGCCAAACCACAGGTTTGTGTCTTGGAAAACCCTGCTGATGGCGGCCGTGGACAGCCACACGCTGTGTTGGTTCTACCTCCCTACGCTGTGGCGAGATTTACCTTCCACCACTCGACCTTCCTTACACAGAGCGACTGCTCATTCTCGCAAGGAGTCTCACAGAATCAAGCTAGCCAAAAGAACATGTTATCATGTAGCACTTCGGCGCATTCGGCGTTGAGGTTTCCATGTAAATGTATTGTCCGATTCGCCATGCCAGGGCCGAGAATCAAAGATAGCCCTTCCACTCTTCCGCCTCTGCAAAGGGACTTTTCATGTCAACCGTACGCGGATCAAGCAGTCGATGCACCCTGCAGGTATGATACCCCTGGGTCGCGCACCATAAATACGTGGTATGGCGGAGTGCGACGCCCGTGCAGGCTATGTATGTGTATCGGATCCTGTCTTTGGCCTTGACCACCTTTTGCGAATCCCCACCAAACCTGAACTGTGAGCCAGCTCCACTTTGGATACAAGCCGACGGAATCGCTTGAGTCCCGGAAAATGCGAGCGTAGCAGCACGCTGTCTGGGCCTCTGGACAACGCCCGGGACTTTCGGGGCTTCTCCACAACCTTTGGACTCCATTGCCGAGAGTCTACAATGCGTGCTTCCGCCTGTAGCCGCCTGTGATCTTTGACGGCTCTGCCTGCATGAATTCCGCACGGTTCTGCCTAGCTCAACCTTCGACTCATCGATGCTCTTCGGCTCTTCGAGCCTTGGTCTTCGCCCTGGGCAACACGAGTTCTGCGGGGCTAAGTCTTCGGCAGCTCCATATCTCGAAGCTTGCACTGTTGCGCCTTTGGAGCCATTGCACCCCGAAGGTGTTCACGTCGGGCTTTGATGATTGGCGTACATTCGGCTATGCATCCGCGCATACATGGAGAAGTATGCTTTGTACCTGCATGTTGATTCTAGGTGCTAGACAAACAACGAACATGGCATCTCAGGTGCTTTCAGCCGTTATGAACTTGCGCAGTCGGAGCTGCGTCGTCCCAGGAGCATACCAGCATGAGAGACCTGAACCCGTTTTTCGTTCTGCACGAGCCTGCCAGCTGAAGCAATCGAGCATGGGGCGTATCCGTGCTGCGTGCTGCGTGGAGGCACCAGTATTCCGTCGAGGAGGCCCAGGCCGAGGAGGCCTGGCAGCGGGGCGCAGCACGGCCTAGGAGATGCGGGCATCGGTTTTCTGCAAAGGCCCCTATGCTGCTTTCGGCTGGCCCTCAGAAGAATCTTGCATTCTGCGGTTCATTGGCCATTGGCCTGCGGCCTACAGGCAAAAGCTTCGCCAAAGCATCAATCTGCAGATGCAAGCATGGAGGAATCCAACGAGGTCGGAGGTGACGTAGGATGGTTTAGGCGTGACTGGGCAACACTAACACGAGAACCACGAGCTGGGAAGGTCATACGTCCTCCCTGCGACACGACCAGGCAGGGCATGGTCAAGTGGGCTTCGGCTCAGCTTTTTCAAGTGCAGCTGCAGGAGGCCCCGGGCTGAACCTCGAGGAGTTGCAACACAGCGGAGACGCAAGCCCCTCGACTGAACGACGCTCGTGCCTACGCTTTCCTACGCTTCGTGATTCTGGAGACGCATTCTGCAGCATGTCATGCAAGCGACGCAACGCCTCTGCATCGAGGCTGGTGCGCTTTCGTCAAGGCAGGGGCTGGCAGGGACACAGCATCATGCTGATCGTCACACTGTGTGTTACGCTCGCCCCGGCCCTGCCCAGCCGAGCTTCGTGCCAATAACAACAAGCGTTTGATTTGCTTGGCTTTCTCTGCTTGATATCTTTGCCTTGCCGTGTGCTGCATCACTTGGCACATTGAAGTTCGCGCTTCGGCTTCGAAGCACTGCGTGCCTTTCCTGCGAGACGTAAAGAGCTGTCAGGACTCGGTGATGTTGCTGGTGACTCAATGCAGCCTTTGGTAACGAAAGCACGAGCAGAGTTCTGTCAGAGCTACATCTCCTCGGTGAGCGAGGCCCCGCAGCAAAAGCTGCCCAGTTCTCACGACGGTCAACAAGTGCCCTGCCCATGCTTTGAAGTCTGTGGGTTTGCATCGCTTGACATACGTGGATAGAAACAGTGCTGCGCAACTGCAGATCGTCCTCAGAAAGCACTACGATCCAGAAGCTTCTTCGGTCCGCTTCGGTGCAGAGGACAGCTGATCTCCAGCCTTGTCAGTGTGGCAGTGCCAAAAGGGCCTTGATGTCAAAACAGGCAGCCATAGTTTGCATATCGCTAGCACCCGACCAGGAGATCCTGCTGCTGGAGTCTCGGAATGCTGAAGAAGAGGCTTGGCAACGGAATCTGCTGGAGATGCACATCGAGGCACGGCAAGCAAGTTCAGCTGAGTCAGTCATCGTCATCAGAAGAGCTTGCTTCAGGGTCGGTCTTCATCTTCTCCGGTGGCTTGGCTGTGCCAGCAGCTGATCTTCATCCAGCCTGCAGCATCTTCGCAGTCGCCAGGTCACGCCTACAACCCCTGGATCTGTCGGTCTTCTGGTTCGTGCGGAGAACGGCGCAGCCCAAGATGTCGCTGCATGATCCCTGCAAAAAAGAGAAGCAGTGTCCAGTGTCCATTCGTTATCGGCATTCATGGTTGCATTCATACGTGACGCGTGCATTTGGGTTGCCTCCTGCATGTTGACCTCGCAGGTCTCGCTGCTGCACCATGCATCGCATCACAGCGCCTGTGCTTGGGCCATGGCCCCAAGGTATCCCAAGGTGACCGTTGTGGACTCTTGGCATCTTTTCAAGTCTGGGGCGATTGAGGATTCCTGGATGTGTGCCATGTGCCCCGCAGCTCCTGAGCGCTCAGCCATTCAGGTCGATGGTCATACCATACACGACACAGAGAGCGCGTTGCGGCGTTGCGTAGATGTCGCACAGCATTCAGCGTTTTTTTTGCAGGAGTGCATCACGGTGGCCCAGGAGACGCAGTCAGACCAGGCCTTGGGCCTTGGGATAAAGCGAAACCAGCGGAGACACAGACGACCGCGAAGTCGAGGACGTTCTTTGTTCCAGCATGGTGACCACAAAACCGTGAAATCACACGGCCTTGTCTCTGAACGCACGGCCCAGGGGGCTCAAGAGTGGCATGCTTCCCAGTCCACCAGAGTATGCTGACTTGCAATTGAGGAATATACTGCAGAGTGAGGATTAGGGACAGCATCGAGAGAACAATGGTGTGCGACGAGTTGCTTGATACGCAAGAGCCAAAGTGAATCGGAAAGGGATGACGGCCTCCAGCAGCGGTGAAATGATTTCAGTTCGAACTGTTGCTAGTACACTGACAGAATGGGAGCGACGTCTATGAGTCTATGATGCGAAAACAAAGGATCCGGCAAGGTATTCGATGTCAGGATGTTACTAGCTTGATGCAAGTAGCTGAGCAGTGGTCGAATCTGGGCACTTGCCGCAAACGAGGGCAGAGGTCGCAACTCTTAGAGGCTGCTGCCGAGAGGCAAGCAGAATGCTTTAGCTGTCAACGTACATGTAAGAGCATGCAGGTAGGTGGCGCATCCAGCCAACCGAACTCTGAGTGACTTGTATTTGTGATATTTTTGATCTTGGACTGCCTAGCATTGCTTTGGACGTTGCGGGTCTGTCATGCATCATTCACTTCTCACTCCTCCCGTTCAGTGTTAGGTCCTCACTCCCTTCACTCCTTTTCGTTACTGGTTCAGGCCATCTGGAAGCCATGGGTATGTCCGAGCACCGAGCCCTCCTCCTCAGCACTGCATGGCAGCATGCCTGCATTGCATGCTCAAGTTTTCAATGTTCGGGTGCGGCAAGGCAACACGCGATAAAGTTCGCCCGCTACAATCAGGGGCGTCTCGGCAACACGACTGCCTGGAGCACGGAGTATGGCGAGTACGGTGAAATGCAGTTAAGGCCTGCCCCGAAGTGCTCACCCCGAGATGATCCGGAGTTGGACTCAGTACCCGAGGAGTGACTTGAGTTGTGGGGCTATGCCAGTCGTGCCAATTGAGCCTCTGATCGGATTCCTGCTTCGACGTACAGGTTTGCCCTGCACAGCATGGCCCGACTAAGCCCAACTGTTCGAGAAATGCTTTGCAACGTGTCGTCCGAGCCAGCCGAGCCATGAGGAGCCGCCAAGCTGACGCATCAGCTTCATTGGTCCTCGTGAGCTCCTTGTCTTTGTTTCACATTACCACGACCAAGAGAGAGTCTGTGGCTGCGCTTTGCGGGGCATGCGGCGATGCGCCGTCTGTCAATAGAGCAGGATTTGCTGCCCCACAGGAGCGGAGAAACGTCAAAATGGTACCCTTGGCCCTTGGCCTGTATTCGTGCAGCCCTCTGCCCACTTTAGTTGCACGCGTTTCCTCTACTCCAGGCTACTGTAGCACAGGCTTTGTCAATCTCGCCGGCTCGATTCCACCAGCGCTTCCTGTGTGGCAAGTGGTTTGGTTCTTGTTCATTGCTTTGAGTTGCGATGCACACTTTACACCGATATATACACCCATTGGCATCCACATCATGTCTTCGTCTTGTGTGCTTCAGCTGAGCTCGGATGCTTGGCAGCGCTGAACATGTCCTCCATTGGCCTAGACCCGTCCCGGCTCCCAGCCCCAGTGTACCCCATGACACGAGCCACTGCAAGGCGGGGTCACAATCTATGACTCCAACTAGATGATCGTACTCATACTGTGTATCCTGCTGTTGGCCCCGACTGTCCCACTGGAGCACATGTATGGGGCATGGAAAGAAGTGCGAAAGTCCTGGCATCCAAAGGTGATGTCTTGGCCCCAGCATCAGGAACCGTAAAAGGTCTGGGACTGGTGTTTGTGCGAACATAAGGCTGTTTCCAGGGCATTGTGCCAGCTTGGTGGCCATCCTGACCAGAGAGCCTGCAGCTCAGCAATTCGGAGTGTGAATGCGCTATCGCCTTGCGTGATCGCCTTGCATGATCGCCTTGTGTTGCAGGTGCAGGCAGTTCGATCTCTGGAGGTGCTTGCCCAAAGCGCTGAGGCCGGACTATGGCATGCTGAAGTTTTGGAGCGTCTTAGGGTCTTGACTCCAGGGCCGCTCCAGCATCATTGCATCGGGTCGGGATCCCAGCATGCAACGTTAGCACGAAAACGAAGCTTTCTGTTCCAGGCATTGCTGCCAAGAAGAGTTGTAGACATGTTGCCTTGCGTGCTTCCAGACGTTCAGGCAGCTCGCGAAGCTGTCGCTTACCGACTGAGGTGGCGCAAAGATGCTAGTTGCGCAGCTCGTGCGGGTTCCAAGTGTGCTTCCTTAGCGTTGACAAGGATACTGGATACTCGTAGTCCAAAGGCAGCCTGCGCACCCTAGATTCCCCATCGCTTCCAATCTCCCTCGCCAGATTTGCCAGACTGCCCCCGTTGCTTCGTGTGCCCTAGCTGAAAGCTGCCAAGGTCAGACCTGGCGACCAGGCTCGAGACGGAACGGGTGGCAACAAGATCAGTGAACCACCACGAAGCGAAGAGCCGTAAAGCTTTTATTGGTGATTTGTTTTGCGGAGCACGGCTTTGCAAACTCCTGCTTTGGAGCAGCAGGTCCTGAATTCCGTTTCTTTGCAAGACCAAGCATACAATCGATCATATAAATTCCACGCAGACACTGATGGCAAGGAGACTTCGTAAGAGCCCAGATCGGGAGCCATGATGCCACATATCACATATCACATACGACGAAAAGATTGCCTTATCCTCGTGACAACAATTGGGGCTTCTTTTAGGGCGTTCTCTTTGGTAGGTCGGCAGACCTTGCCACTGATGTGTTCACGACGCGGAGGTGCTTCCTTTTGAAAAGATCCGATTAGCCAACACCTTGGCCATATTGGCCACTTCACCACCGCAGGGGCCTTCGCTAGACCCGTTCCGGCGTTGCAATTCAAGCACGAAGCATGCGTCTCTCCACTTCCAAGGTGTCGTGCGGTGATCATCAATGCTGCTGCGATACCGCAGCTCATTCGACTTCTGGGAGGAGATTGGAGATACTGCAGAGACTGCAGGGTTCCTCTGAGCACACGGACGGCTAGAAACAGACCCTGATGGTCCCAACATGTCCTTATATGTCCCCTCAACGGCTCCTCTGTGTCCCCGATGCTCCTGCGTGGAAGGACTTCCGGAAGCGCAGGAAGCCGCCACGGATGCGTTGACGGCGCTGGCGGCGGCAAAAGGGTGGGAGACACTATTGAGTTCCCATGACACATGTCCGCAGACGCTTGGCATGGAAAAGAAGAGCCGTGTTACAGCATTGTCGGCAGTTGACGAGGTCGCGCACATTGATGTTCGAGTGCGGCGTGCTGGATGTGAAACTTGGATGCAACTTTCGAGCTCAGATGTCATGCTGCGCGCACCGGACATGCCTCCGAAGGATTGAACGTGCCCTGACAACGGAAGATGCCGTTGGCAGACGAAGGCTTCGAGGGACCTCTGGAAGCCACTTGGACCTTCGCGTCCTTTGCCGAGGTTTTGTCGCCTGCTCGCAGCACTTCTGGAAGGAGACTCTTTGGAGGACCGCCAGAAACCATGGCATCATGGTGTAAGGCCTCGAACGTTCCTCTTGCGAGGAACGTCTGCCCAGAGTTTGTGCAGCAATCGACTCTGCGACTGTGGTGCCACAGCCCTAAAGCAGAAGAAACCACAAGCCGTCGTGAGCTTGTTCTGAGCACTGAAGGTCCAGCGTTGTAGCTCAACTGACAGACCCCGAAGGGGTGGAGCAGGTGTTCCGCACCAGGTCTGGAATTGAAGTGGTCCGTACTTCCCTGGCGCCAGGCAGCAGCAGTTGTCGCGCTGATGAGCTGCTCGCAGCTTGGGGTTTTGCATTTGGAGCCCGAGTGCAGCTCGGACCTCCGAGGCCAAACAGGGCTACGAGTTCGGCTCATGCAGGCCCGAGCTGTGCCTGTCAAGCGCTTGAACTTGACTCCTTGCGCTCCTTGCGGTCCTTGCCACTTGCCAGCGACAAGGCAGGTGCCTTGTCCGTCCTGAAGGATCTGCTATGTGTGACCACGAGGGAGATCTTGGAGCAGGCACAGCGGCGCAGCGCGAGAAGTCCTTCACTTCCGAGTCCTGTGATTCCAGGCGTTAACAGTCTACTCCTCAGGACTCCGGAGCATGGCAACTGACAACCACCAGCAATGAAGGGCTCTACGGATTGTTCGCGGTGACTGTTGGGCAGCAAGGCGCTTGCAGCCATCGTCACGGTCGAAATGGCTCCGCAAGGCGAAGAAGCTGAGGCTGGACCGGTGCCAGTGCACTTCGCTTCGCTTCGCTGCGATGTGTGCGGGGCGATGCAGGATGTCTTATGGTCTGTCGGTGTCTTTTTTGCGAGCAGGACCTCGGCACAGCCCTGGTGGAAGACGCGCTGTCCAGCCACTTGGATGCGCTGCACCGTGAAACCATGCTGACGATGTTGCCAGATTGTCTGCGGCTTGAGGTGAAGTGCCCAAGATAGTCCAGCTCCTACAAGGTGGGCGCTTCTTGCTGCTCATTTCGGCATCCTGAGCGGCACTTGTTTCGGAGCTTGATAGCCACATGAGGCCAGGACGAAGAGATCCGCTGCGCAGCGGCTCAAACTATCTTCCAACTGGCAGCGCGAGGTGACATGGAGGCTCAATGGCCCAACGGCCTAAGTTTAAAGATCGGTTCACAAGGCGTCCTGGGTCCAAAGGAGTCGGCGGAGACATCTTGAACAACTGATAGCTTTTTCTGCCTCTTTCGATTTATATGCCTCTGAAATGCGGCCTGTGCAAGATGCAACTTCGATTGGCTGAGCCGTTGCCGCCTCTGGTCGCGCTCGTGAAGGCACGAGAGCTCCTTGCAGAAGCTTGTAGCAGCCTTATGACTCGGAGGATGGCAAAGCCAGGACTCGAGCGTGGGCAGTCAGCGCGCTGAGGTGTTGACCGCCTTGGCCAGAAAAGTTCCGCGGCCTTTCGTAGCTTACATGAAGGCTGCTTGGCAACTCCTCGGAAGCCCGCGAGACCATCACACAAGCGGCAGCACGCCCAGACGTCATCTGCTCTCTCTCTCTCACTCTCGCTCTCTGTCTTCATGTGTCGAGTGATGCCAAGTGCGCCGGCAACGGGTCATTGGCATGCAGGTGCCGATGGAAGCAGAAGAGCGAGAGAAGCTACTGGCGAAAATTCGCACTTTATGTTTCTAAAGCGCAGCCATTAAGATCACCCATCCAAAGGAGGGCGTGACGACGGCTCTGCGGAAAGACAAAAAGGTAAAGGAGATGCCTCAATTTCGGTTCCGTGTCGTCAAGCCGACTTGCGTAGCCATTCAAGTTAGCCCCCTGTCTGGCAGATCTCCGCATGACAACACGCAATAAGCCGGTACTTGGATGCCCAAGGCTTGCTGAAGGTTCTTGGCCGACTCCTTTTGTTCTCAGCCCGGGCACCTTCACTGGGCGTGGGGTGCTTCTCCGGTGCCTTGAATTGAATCATATTGAATCTGTACACTGGCCAAGTGTGGCCAAGCTGCGTCTTGGGACGGAATCAGTAAGTCATCCTGGTTGAGGTGCCATTCAGCCACATTGAAGCTGCTGACACAGAGGCAGGCAACGGGTTGTCAGTTGAGGGAAGCTCAACTGCTTCTTTGCATTGATTCAGATGGCATGCATGTCGGAGGTGCAGCGTTTGCAATGCTCAGCAGCTTGCTGCTGACTGTGCTGCTATGGCCGCTGAGCAGCCAGTCTGCACCGATTCACAGACATCTCCAGACGTTCGGTTCGCAGTTCTCACCAATCCAGCAGA